TTCTGTGGTTTTCTGTGACACAGCTTCAGGTCTTAACATGTGCAGCTGGCTATTCTGAGTTGACATTTGGACATGGTCCATGATCAGGTTCAGTTTCATTCTTTTGCAGGTGGAGATCAGGTTTTTTCAACATCACTTACTGAAAAGCTTTTCCTTTCTTCATTGTGTGTTCTTGGCGGCCTTGTCAATACCAGCTGTCCATCAATAACTGGCTCTGTTTATGGGTCTACCATCTTAGCTCCTTCACTGATGTCCCCATGTCACACCGATTTGATTGCAATCATTTGTGGGGTTTTTTTTTTTTTTTTTTGGCATAGGCTGGCTTGAAACCTTCTATATAGCCTAAGCTGGCCTCAAACTTAGGATCATTCTCTCTCACCTTCCCTAATGAGCAACCAGACCTCAAGGAAATCTAAAGGATACCTCCAAAGTGTGTTAAGACAGTGGTCCTCAGTCTTCCTAATGCTGTGACCCTTTAATACAGCTCCTCATGTTGTTGTGACCCCCAACCATAAAATCATTTCATTACCACTTCATAGCTGTAATTTTGCTACTGTTATGAATCATAATGCAAATATCTGCTATGCAACCCTATGGGGGTCACAACTCACAAGTTGAGAACCACTGGTTAAGGGACTATTATAACAAATATCATACAAGAGAATGTAATTAATGACTATGCTTTCTTGAGATTTTCTTCTTGAATACAGAAAAGGTGGAGGTCAGTAGTTTTAGTTCCAAGGCCAGGTGTTCTTGACAAATTGAATCAGAAATCCCAAGAAGGGACCAAGGTATCAGCACTCTTTAAAGTCCGGCTAGTGATTCCAATGTGTAGTTAGAATTTAGCTCCATGTTATAGGTGCACACTGCCTCATGCTTTGTATTTCCATTCAAGACTGTGATGTCTCTAGCTTTGTTATTCTAAAGACACTAAGATAACACACACACACACACACACACACACACACCAAAAATCCAAACACCTATTAGAACTGATAAATTTGGTGAAGGTGTAGGTTATAAACTCAGCAAGGGAAGATTAACATTGTTTCCATATACTAACATGAAACTACCTGGAAATGAACTTAATGAAACAATCTCAACTAAGCAGAGTAAAAGATTGTATACTGAAAAGATTTGTTTACTGAAAACCATAGACTGTTGGTGAAAGAAGTTCAAGACAACATAGAAGGCATAAATAGGTGAATGGATATCTCACATTTGTAGACATGATTATTGATACTGGTGAATTATTCATACTACACAAAGTGGTCTATAAATTCAACATAATTCGAATCGAGATTCTAATGCCCTTCTTCACAAAATAAGAACAATCCTAAACAATCCAGAAAAGATTGTTGTATCTGGTTGTATGCAACCAGAAAAGATTCAAATGGCCAAAAAGCCTTCTTTGGTTGCTGACAGAATGATCATCTTATACGTGCTTTTCTGTGGGCCAGGAGACAAGAATCTCCATCAATATCAGACTCCAGTAGGCTTTAAAATTCCCCCGGTGGTTCTGATGAGCAGTTAAAGAGTCGCTGGAGATGAATGAGTGTGTCTCTTAGTGTTATGGTCTATAGACTCTGTAGGAAATCCAAAGGAAAATCTCATGATCATGAAATCAGCTTTGGCAGAATGAAATAAAAACTAAAATTGAATTTGGAAGAGAAAGTGAGTGGTGGTGTTTCTCGTACTCTAGTGTGCATATGAATTACTAGGGGTTATTAAAATGCAGGTTTTGAGTCAATGGTTCTAGGGTGGAAACGTGGTTTGCCTTTCTAACCAGCTTCCTGAGCTAGGCTGTGATGCTGCTGCTGAAGCTTGACTCAGCACATTCTGCATAGCACAGAGGAGTGGGGTGGGGGTTGGGCTTGGGGTTGGGGTGGGGGAGTGGGGGGATGGAACTTTCTCCTCCTAGCTGCAGCAAGGAGGTTATCTGTCCTGCTTCAGATGCAGGAGCTTGTTCTGAAGTGACAGTACAGCAACACCATGAAGTACTCTATTCCCCCACCCCAAACGAGATATGACTCACAAGCTAATTAAGAACCTGTTACTTCTAATGTTTTTAAGGAGGAAAAAAAAACTAGTAATATTTTGTTCCACCTTCTGAACAGTTAAATTTAGGTTAACAAACAGGATTTGTTAAGTCTTAGAGATGAAAGAAAGATGCATTAGACAGCTCGCTTCAAGGAATTTACAATCTTTCTGAGGAGACAGAAAATTAACTCCATTTTAACAGCATTAGCACAAAATAGATGTGTTAGGAACATGGCAAGGGGAAAGATATTGATTAGGAATAAAGACTCCTCAGAACACTCCCCCGGAAGATGTGTTCGAGCTGGCCTTGAGGAATGAATGGGATTCTGATAAGTGAAAAATGAAAGGGAAGTGGAAGGAACAGTTCACGAGCAAAGGCTTACAGCAGGAGCTTCCACCATCGCAGCACATTAATTGGCTACATTGAAAAAAAAAAAAAAAAAAAAAAGAGCTTTCCGAGCATCCAATTAATTTTGGCCCGGTCACCAGTGTTTTCCCCTTAGTGGTTTTTAAAGCACAACTCGGATCAGATTAGAGTCACTGGAGATGTATGAGGTTATGAGGCTTGCTGAGAATTTTTAAAGTGTTTAGAGGGCAGCGGGAAGACCAAAGAATTTCCAGATGATTCTGGATAAGATGTCTTGATCCACTGTGGCATGGGACAGATACTTTGTTATCACTGATAACCGAAGGAGCATATTATGATAAAGTAACTGAAGCTGTAAAGAGTGTGCTTTCTAAGCATAAGTTAGAGTGAATTAAGGGCCCAGCCGCAGGGGCAGCTTACTGCCTTGTATTACATAGATTTGTCAAATGAGAAAGGAAGGCCTGCCTGGTGACCCAGCCAGTGATGGGGGCTAGGTCAGTGGCCTTAGGTAGAAAGGAAGTCATACATACATCATGGCAGGTTGTCTTCTCAAAGGCAAAGATACTCAAAGTGATTCCATAGACCAGTGTCAAAAAGAAGTGGACACACACAGGGAGCGAGGGGGAAGAGAGAGAGAGAGAGAGAGAGAGAGAGAGAGAGAGAGAGAGAGAGAGAGAGAGAGAGACAGAGAGACAGAGAGAGAGAGAGAGACAGAGAGAGACAGAGAGAGAGAGAGACAGAGACAGAGACAGAGAGAGGGAGGGAGGGAGGGAGGGAGGGAGGGAGGGAGGGAGGGAGGGAGGGAGGGAGAGAGAGAGAGAGCGAGAGAGAGAGAGAAGCGGGGGATTTTTGAAAGAAGATCCATCCAGGCAATTCTTCATGGTTACTTGTAAGAAATGCTGGCCCGTGGGCTGGAGAGATGGCTCAGCCATTAAAGGCTAGGCTCACAACCAAAAATATTGGTGAAATTATTAAGGCCATTCCACGTAGTTAAAAAGAGATTTATTTAATGGCGTAACTTACAAATTAAGGGATAGGTAGGTCGCGGGGTCTGGGGAAGGTGTTCTCTGGAGCTCTGCTTGGCCCACCTTCACCGTCCAAGGTCCCGGAACCGAGTCAGAGCACTGGCGCATCCAGATCTCAGGTCTCCAGGCGCCTCCCTTGGCCCCGCCTTGTAGGCGTGACAGTTGCCGAAGTCTCAATGGGGGTTGGAACTTCCAGATCAAAGCTGGAATGGCTACCCACTACACAAAAATATAAGAAATGCTGGCCCGTGAAAGAGACCACAGGATTTTGTTTACCTAAGTCCACCCAGACACAAACATACACACCAGGGAAGTTGGGAGGGAAGCCAAGAAGTGTGCAGAGACGGAGATGCAGTGCTGAGAGATGTCTCCTCATTGGAGCGTGTGGGACACGGCTAGGGAAACATGCAGTTGCTGTGTGTGTGTGCAGGATGCAGTGCGAGAAGGGGCGGGGGCCTGGCAGCCGTGCATGACTAGGATGGGTGTTACGTGTAAGCCTCACAGTATAATGACGAGGGCTTGTGTGTGTGTGTGTGTGTGTGTGTGTGTCTGGTTAAGTATTTGTCACTGTACATTTCAATGCCTCATAAGGAGGAAATTCAGGGCTCACCAATTTGCCAAGTGGCAGTTTTCACCATTCCTACTTCACAGACGAGGAAATGGAAGGACACAGTTAGCTTGCTTATACAAGAAATGTATGTCCAGCTGATCTGGCATGAGAACCAAGGTGATCTGAGAGCCACACCCCTATGTTATGGAGCCTCAAAGTAAGAGGATGACAATTAGGGACAGAGTAAACTGAGTAGAGATGCCTGTAGATTTTCTGGTTACATGCGAGTGCTCAACAGTCTCGGTGTCTTCATATGTAAGTTGGGTTATTAATGTTACTCATCTTGTAGGCAGATTTTTCTGTCCCACCAACCAGCTCCCAAATCACAACAAGGAGACTTATTAATTATGAAAGCTCAGCTGATAGCTTAGGCTTATTTCTAACTAGTTCTTACAACTTAAATTAACCCATTTCTTCAGTCTAACGCTCTCCCAACTGAGCTATTTCGGCGGCTAAATTAACCCATTTCTATTCATCTAGCTGTTGCCCTGTGATCCAGGCCATTTACCTCTCCTCCTGCATGTCTTGCTCCCTCTCCTTCTGCCTGGCAACTCTCCTTTTTCTTCTTGTTCTTGTTATTGTTCTTGTTCTTGTTCTTGTTCTTGTTCTTGTTCTTGTTCTTGTTCTTGTTCTTGTTCTTGTTCTTGTTCTTGTTCTTGTTCTTGTTCTTGTTCTAGTTCTAGTTCTTGTTGTTGTTGTTGTTCTTCTTCTTCTTCTTCTTGTTCTTCTTGTTCTTCTTTTTCTCCTCCTCCTCCTCCTCCTCCTCCTCCTCCTCCTCCTCCTCCTCCTCCTCCTTCTTCTTCCCAGCATCCTGTGTGCCTGAAAACCCTGCCTAGCTTTTTACTAAATCCTGCCTGGCCTTTCAGCTTTTTATTAAACCAACCAGAGTGACAAATCTTTACAGTGTACAAAAAGATTATTCCACAACACGGTTATGATATTACATGAGTTAATGTATTTATCGCATCAGTTTCCTGGTATGGGATAGTTTTCATGCTTAGTTCTAAGTGTGGTACACAGTAATTGTAAAACGAATATTAACCATAGTGTGCCGGATTTAATTATGAGAGGTTTGTGTGCAGTTGTTGTGTTAGTGGTGATCACAGATGTAGCCTGTTAGCCCATCTCAGGGGTGCTGACATCTTCTTTGTGTGTATATGTGTTTTTTCCCTAGAAAACGGTCTGTATATGTTAAGAATCCTTACCTGGATGCTATGGATGAAGATATTCTCTATCACTTGGATTTAGGAACCAAAACACACAACCTTCCAGCAATGTTTGGGGATGTAAAGGTAAAAATATTTTGAATGTCAGGAAAATGACTGTATTTCCTTTGCCATTTTTTCTTTCTTATCTTCTCCTTAATAAACTTCACAGCCTTGATTAGAGACAAGTCAGAGGTCCCAAGAGCATATGAAGTCACTCTAGTTTAGAACAACCATTTTCAACCTAACAAGATGTAAAGGTTTCCAAACTAAATCCAGTGCCAACATGATTACTTGGCCGCTCTGGTCCCTAGAGATAAATATAATTTTATTGACGATGCTGTTGGATATTCAGAATTCATCATGTCTTAACAGATTCAGTTCATAACTTAACATCTACATTTATTGCTGAACCTCACTAATTCTCATCTTAAAATCATAACAGAATTCAAGACTAACAATGCTCTATTATTCTTGTCTCAAAAAAATGACCATTGTCCATATTTTGTATCATTAAGATTTTTCTTATCTTATAAGCAATATTTCATGAGAAAGTTGTTTATAGAATAATAATGGGAGAATCATATTACTATGTTACTTATTTTATCTTATAAATAAATTGTAAAAGCAATTCTTGCTCCTTATTTAAAATTAGGAAGGCATAGAAAAGAACATTCTGCTTTTAAAAATATAACTTATAGTCCTACTTCCTAGACCAGGACACCATCTGGCCTCTTTCTTTTCTTTAATTTCACTTATTCATTCCTTCACTTTTTCTATTGGCGTATCTTTATTACACGAGGTACTAGGTTACATAAGGACACTTTCTTACAAAGACATAATGTGTTTTGAGCATATTAACTTCACATTGCCTCTTCCATTCCTTTTTAATGAAAAAATATTAAAATGTTTATAATGAGACTGAGGGTGTGGACTGGTGTAGTGGTGAAAGCCTGTATTCCCAGAATTTAGGAGGTTCAGGCAGGAGAATCAGACGTTCACACTCAAGGTCATCTTTGGTTACTTAGTAAGTTCAGGGCCAGCCTGGGATAAATGAGACTCTGTCTTTGCCATCCTGTATCCTCTTGTTTAACATTATATTATTACTATTTTCCATATTATTATAATATAATAATTAATATAATATTTTCCATATTATTCCATTTTGTTTGAAATCTACTGTTCGTGGGTTCAAGAGGTGTGTCATAAATTATATAAACTATTCCTAACTTCTGTAGTAAATGTTTCCGATTAGAAACAGGAGTCAAGTGGATATTATATCTTGTAAGGATTTTTCACATGTAGGTACATTAGTTTACGATAATTCACAGATACGGTCAATGGGAATGAACTCACAGAAATCAGAGGAAGTTAAAGTTACTCCTGAGTGGAGGTGCTGGTGTTTAGACCAAGTTCTTCTGCAAGTTCCCAGGGATTTTATTCATTGGACCAGGTGGATTCTGAGTTACAGGAAATCAGAATTCCCAAAAATTAAATGGGGAGGGATGTGAAAAATGAGGATAAAGAGGGTGAGTGTAGGTAGAAGAAGAAAGGAAGGTGGAAGAAGGGAAGGAAGGAAGGGAGGGAGGGAGAGAGGGAGGGAGGGAGAGAGGACGTCTCTGATATCCATTGTCAGTTTGTGCTCAGCGGCTTCCTCCCTCCATCTTTAACGGAGCATGTGAGCGTGGGTGGGTTTCCAGGCAGCAGCTCAGCCTGTGTCCCCACTCCTTTCCAGACTACAGCTCCCTGCCTTTGTGCAGCCTACCTCCTTTTGCTGCTTCATCTTTTTAATGTAACCTCTGTCGCTTCTACCGAGTCTGATATTGAGGCTCCAGGAATCTTTGATCAAGTCAACTTTGGTACTCATTAACTGGATTGTACATGGATTACAGTGTTAGGTGTGAGGTTTATGCCTCACAGTGATTTTTCCCAAGACCTTTATTTAAGAATGATTGGAATAGGAGGATTGCTATAATCAACCAAAGAAGGTACACTGTATTTAATACATTAAAAAGATAAGAGATGTTTCGATACAGAGTAGCCTATTGTATTTGTGTGTGTGTGTGTGTGTGTGTGTGTGTGTGTGTGTGTGTGTGTGTGTGTCTAAGTGTCTGTCTCTCCCCTAGTATTCATGGACTGCCTTCTTTGTATATGATCCTACCCAGTCCCCACCATGGAGACTCTTCCTTCCTTTCTTCTACCTATGTGCCTGTAATCAAAGCACATGGGATGTGTAGGCAGAAGGGTCAGGAGTTAAAGTCTGGCTTTGGTTACATTAGAAACTAGATATTACCTTCCCCATACAGAGGAGTACACTAGAACTCAATGTATATGTGGTGTTAAAACACACCTGTTGTCTCTGTGAGTTTGAGGCCAGCCTGATCTAAAGAGTGAGTTCCAGGACAGCCAGGACTGTCACACAGAGAAACCCTGTCTCTGGGGAAAACCAAACCAAACCAAAAACAAACAACAACAAAAAACACACCTGTTATATTTATCTATCTGTGGAAGGCATAACACAGCCAGTGAGTTGAACAAGCTGAGGGTAAATCCAGGTTCCCCTGATGAAATAGTTTCTGGTTCTTGCTATATATATTTTTAACACTGCATTTGTTACTCTCCTCATTATTGGTATATCATGGGATTGATGACTTTGTTTTAGAGATGAGAATCACACATGTTATGTGTGCAAACACGTGAGTACATATGGTCTTATCTCTGTTGGTCTCAAAATTGGGCCTTCATGTTCCCACTTCTCTACCTGGCTGGGTTTCAATCAGCACTTTCTCCACACTCTGCTTCTCAGAACCACTTAGCTACTTCCCCCCACCAGTACAGTCAGCTGGATCACAGACATGCTCCATTTCAAATGGTTTTGTCTCTTTAGAGAGCAACCCCAAGCATAGGCCCATTTTGAAGGATAGGAGGCAAAAATGTGTTTAGATTTAGGATCAGAACAGAATCATAATCATAACCAAACCAGAATGTTGGGAGCAGAAGATAAAATCAGCTATCTTGTTATAGATTCTGTCCTCAGAAATGTACCTTCATCTAACGCTCTCTTATCTCAGAGTGAGAACATTGTAGGTTTGATTTCTTGACTCCCTTAAGTCTCAAGTCAGCAATTTTGACTACAAAGCAGGGACATAACCCACCAATACCTAAAAATTCACAAAATATGGTGATAATTATTATCAATAGTAACTTCAGTGGGAAAGAAGATGGTAGGGTATACCATTTAAATCTGAATAAACTGGGTATGGTGGTGCATGCCTTCAACCAAAGCACATGGGAGATGTAAGCATGTGGGTCAAGAGTTCAGGTCAACCTTGCCTTCATAGTGAGTTCAAAACCAACCTGGATTACACGAATCCTGTCTTAAACAAACAAACAAATGGACAGAAAACACAAATCTGAATGACTCTGACAGTCCCCCATATTCCTTCAGATCTTTCCTATATTTTGAAGGATTTTCCTACATGGTACTACATATTCTCAGTGGCCTAATACAATGTAAGTTGGCCTTTAATTCATAACAAGCATCAAGCAGGTGCATCTGGCTGATGGCTGGCCAGGTGGAGTGGAGGTCTGGAGGCCCAGTCCCTGGGTGTGGACCTCCATCTAGCAGATGGTAGAAGCTAAGTACAATATATCCTCCTTGTGGGATGGGGGTGGGGTACATCTGTGCTCTAGGCCGGAAGTGGGATACTTCCCTTTTGCTCACATTCTAGTGGCTGGAACTCAGGCATATGGCCTTGTCCACCTGGAAAAGAGCCTGGGAAGTCAACATGAACTGTGAACCCAGAAAGAAGAGGAAAGAGTCTTGGCATGTATCTTGTCCATCTCTGCCATATTCACTGGAGATGGAAACAATTGAAAAATGTGGTAGAGGTGCTAGAAAGATGTTTTTCAAATTCAATATCCAAATAGATATTTTATCATGTCTTTACAGATATCTTTTATAAAATCACTAGCTGGCACCCTCTAATTCATCCAAGCATTTTACATTTATTTTTAGTTTTGAGATTATAATGTAATTACATTTCTCCCTTTCTTTTCCTCTCTCCAAATCCTCCCATATGCCCTCTCTACTCTCCTTCAAATTCATTGCCTCAGTTTTTCATTAATTGATATTGCATGCATATATGTATATGTAGAGACATATACATTTCTAATATTATCTGGTTTAGTTCATATAATGTTGATTGTATATGTATTTTTAGGACTGATTATTTGCACTGGCAACCATTTGGTACTCTTCTCTGAGAAAAAACACCTCTCCTGCTCCTAGCTTTCCTTGGTTGCCTATTGTTTGTGTAGGACTGAGGCCTCATGGGCTTTTCTCCATCCATTTTACATGCCCATTGGTGTTGTTCTTGCTCACCTCACATTTGGGTGGCCATGTCAGTGAGACTTTATGAGTGCAACTTTTGATGTTACTGGGAGATACAGTCTCCCGACAAACTCCCTGGTCCTCTGGCTCTTGCGATCTTTCCACCATCTACTCTGCAATGTTCCCTGAGCCTTAGGTGCAGGAATGCTTTGTAGATGTATCCACTGGGACTTGGTTCTACAACTCTGCCTTTTGACTGATTGTGGTTTTCTGTAGTGTTCTCCATCTATTGCAAAGAGAAGTTTTCTTGATGATGGGTAAAGACTACATTTATCGGTGGCTATAAGGACAAATGTTTGCAGATTGTTGTTAGGGATTTTGCTAGTTTAGTAAATTAGTGGGCATAGATTCTCCTCCAATAACTATGACTTTCCAAGCTCTGAGTAGTTAGCTGGGTTTCCAGTAGCACAAATGTTTTCACTCTTGTTCAGTGGGCCTTAAGTCCAATCAGAGAGCTGTTGGTAACTGCCAAGGCACGTGTACCACTACTGCACCCTTAATACCATGCCATGCTGGTCACTGATATGGTTCACAGGCATCACAGCTAGGTAGGATTGTTGGTCACCCCCCTCCTTTAGAAGTTTGCATGGTGCCTTCTGGGACTATGAACGCCCATCTTCAGATAGGGGCCATTCAGATCAGCCCCAGCTCAGGAAGCTCTGGGCCATGCTTTTGAAATGCATGATGTCTTCAGAATTTTAAGTAACATAGAAAACCATTGCTTCATAAGACTTTACAATATGCATTCAAAATGTTTACAGTCCTTTTTAATACACAAAAGACATAAACTGCATTTATGCTCTACATTAATGTAACATAGCAAAATCTTTTAAGCTACTGAGGACGTTGGAAAGTGAGTTTGTTCTGGAAATCATTAGGCAAAGTCCTGAACATACTTTTATAATGCTTCTTATTCCTGCCCAATGTATTTCTACCTTCTTTGATAAATCCTGGATGAAGATCATTTTGTTTGGAACATAAGTCACAATCACTGACACTGGAGGCCGAGGCTGGCCGGTGGTCTTCAGCAGGATGTTACTTCTTATTAAAGCAGCCAAACTGGTCATTGTATCTGCAGCAGATGCTCAGTGAGTCTGACTTAGGAGTAAGCGTCAGGAACCAAACTGCTCCTGTCCACACCTGTCATCTTTATGACTTCAGAAATATGTTGAAGTTCCTGTTGATTACTGCAACATCCACAGTTCAAAGGAGAACACAAACCGCAAACTATTCTAACATCTGTTTTGGTTTTATGGTCAGTCCGAATCGTTGTAATTTAGATGTACTGGCACCACACAGTGAAGTTATTTTCAAACTACTGTATTTTGTATATAAAAAAAGGGACCTCCTTGTACTTAGAGTTTGGCTTACTCATAGCAAGAAAGTGCTTAACTACTTATAACAAGAAAGGAGGAAAGTCCATAAATAATCAATAGTAATCGAAGCTCACTTTAAACAATGGTCTGCCTTGCTCTCTTGTCCATATCCTTGGTGGCTGACTCCCATGCACTGTTCAAAAAAACTCCCAGGACATTCCAGAAAAGACAACGACACACAGAGTACCCAGACAAAATGAGTAATTATGTCCTGTGATTGAGAGTGATTATGCTGCCCAGGAATTATTGTTAAGTGAAAACAGGAGGCATCATGCAGTCAGACCACCCAATACTTCTGTTGATCTCGTAAGTGAAGGATGCCCACTCTACAGCCTCAGGAATTCTTCAGATGTCCTGTGAAGGTCCTTGCTAGCCTTCCTTGGATCCTCTGCCCAATGCTGCCCACATCAGTCAGGCACCACTAAATGTCTTTTCCCTCCCAGAAAACTCAGTCAACTTCGTTTTTACTGAATTCTGCAGTAGAGACTGTGATCTGAAAAGGCAGGTCGGGGCAGTGTCGCCTGATATTAAAAGCAGAAGTCCACATTTGTGATCACTGAGAAGGTGCCTGCATCCATGCATGCTCCTTTTTAATATTCAATCCCACTTCATCCTGATTAAACCTGAGAGCACCGATGACGATGGCCTGAGGAATACAGTGGTTTCATGTCTCACTGAGCAAGTTACTTAATCAACGATGAGCCAAGTTTGCCTACTACATCCACCTTGTGGCTTTCCAGCATTCCTTGGCATTTGCTTTCTGGGCTTCACTCCATAAGCCATACTGTATATGCCACATCGCATATACCACACCACATACACCACACCTCGTAACCATACTACATACACCACACCACACACACCACACCTCTTATACTACACCACATACACCACACCTCTTAACCATACTACATACACCACACCACATACACCACACCTCTTAACCATATCACATACACCACACCACATACACCACACCTCTTAACCATACTACATACACCACACCACACACACCACACTTCTTACACCATACTACATACGCCATACCATATACACCACACCTCTTATACTACACCACATACACCACACCACACACACCACACCTCGTAACCATACTACAAACACCACACCACATACACCACACCTCTTATACTACACCACATACACCACACCACATACACCACACCTCTTAACCATACTACATACACCATACCACATACACCACACCTCTTAACCATACCACATGCACCACACCACATACACCACACCTCTTAACCATACCACATACACCACACCACATACACCACACCTCTTAACCATACTACATACACCACACCTCTTAACCATATCACATACACCACACCACATACACCATACCTCTTAACCATACTACATACACCACACCTCTTAACCATATCACATACACCACACCACATACACCATACCTCTTAACCATACTACATACACCATACCACACACACCACACTTCTTACACCATACTACATACCATACCTCTTATACCACACCATATATATACCACACCACATACTCCACACTGTATACACCACAACACACACCACATCTCTTACACTACATCCCACCACACTTGGACCACACCGTGTGGCTTTTATTGCTGAGCAGTCGTATGGCTGACCACCTTCTGTGTGCTCTGCTTCGTCCTGGCTTCACTCACTCACTCATCCTCTGTTTCTGACACCTGCCTGGTGCTCACTTGGTTGCCTACTCATGTAGGCCAGCAACAGGCCACTCTCTCCCCTCTCTCTAGCATATTCTCCTATCCTTGGGGTTGATATATCTCCAACATGTTGTGACATGAGCAATTATAATTTTCTTTTGAGACAGAGTCTTACTATGTAGTCCAGTCCAAATGTACTATGTAGTCAAGGCTGTTCTCAAACTCATAATTCTCTAACCCTCAGAATGCTGGTTGTAGGCATGTATTACCTTGCCTAACTGCCAAAGAATGCCATATTTTATTAGATATGACAACCTTTGATTGCAACATCTACCTTAAAATCAGCTAATAAGATAAACACAAAACAAATTAGTGGGGTGGATGAAATACCACAGTCAAGTTCTGAACTTATAATATCAAGCCCTGCCCCTGGCGAGTTTTTCTCAGTCAAGAGCAGAAAAGTCTTGAGATGAGTCCTGTCAAGCTTGAAGTGATCACAGTACATTTCAAGTAAAAGCTTATGGTCAGGGTGGACAATCAGAACACACAGTGAAACTGGGAGCTGCCCCTTTGCTTTCCCCTCACTTACGTTCCACATCCTCAGTACTTGGCACTAAACATCTGTAGTGTGAGTGCCCACCACAAGGGTAATTATATCGATGAAGATGCCAGCCACCAGGAAAGACCTCCTTGAACAATGTCCACACGTATGGTTTTCTTCACTAGGTTAGTACATAACTCATTGGACTTAGCTACCTTCTTTCAGGTTAATGATGTGAATGAGCCAAATTTGAACACAATCCAGGATGTCTACACATGCTGAAAAGTAAACTAACTGTACAATGAAATAAAAGCTTTAGAACGGAGTGCTGATCCTTGCTCTTATCATAGTGATGATGGTAGGCACCTGTTTCTCTTCCTTGACAGTTTGTCTGTGTTGGTGGGAGCCCCAACAGAATGAAAGCATTTGCACAGTTTATGCACAAGGAACTCCAGTTGGAGGGGGATGGAGAAGACATTGAAGACATCTGTGCAGGGACAGACAGATATTGCATGTTCAAAACAGGCCCTGTGCTCTCCATCAGTGTAAGTATGGGAAAGCTGCAGGCCGACCAGCCTTTGCAGGCTGAACCCCAAACTGGGACCATCCCAACATAGTTCTCCCCCGACCTCTGCCTTGCTTTCTTACACAAGGAATGCAAGTGAAGAGGTCGACCCAACCGGAAAAGGTTTCAGGGCAAGACCAAACATGCAGGGTCACCCCCTGCCTTTACACTTGCTGCTTAACTATTTGAGGCAAGGACAAAGGTCTTCAAGGCCCACCCATCTTTCTATTCTTGATGGATTAACATGCTTCTTTTCCCAGCCGTTTTCTTTCTTCTGTCCTTTACCCAGCTTTAGGAACATTGAGCTTTTCATAGAGGCCAGTTCTCAGTATCGTTAGAATTTGTCATGAGTAAGCTTGCTAAAAGGCTGCAAGTGCGTTTCCACGGAGCTCTTGTGACGTGCTCTCCTCACTTTTCTGATAGCTGTTCTGGACACCGTCTGTCTAAAGACGAATTGAAAGCAGAATGATTCTCAGAGCAGTTCCCATCAGTGGCAAACATTTAGAAGGGTGTCTGTACACAGCCACTCACTCTGCCTGAGGTAGTCAGGCACACGCTGGGGACAGTGAGTAAGCCCTGCATAGATGTGACAATTCTGAAGACCTCAGTTGTAAATGCCCTTTATATTGGGGAGCAGTCATGATTCATTGATCCCTCATATTACTCAGTGATGGAATGTAATGAGAGCTGGGAACGTTGGGTAACAAAAGAAAACATATAATACCATTGTGGTGGTGAAGTTGATCTTCCCTCTAGGCCAAGAGTGACTGAGACCTTCTTTGGTTTCTAATGGCAGAATCTATTAATTTATTAGTTTCTTAATTCAGTAAAAAAATTATAGACTATCTGCCTTAGAAGAAGCTAAATAGACTGGGCGGTGGTGGCGCACGCCTTTAATCCCAGCACTTGGGAGGCAGAGGCAGGTGAATCTTTGTGAGTTCGAGGCCAGCCTGGTCTACAGAGCAAGATTCAGGAAAGGCACAAAGCTACACAGAGAAACCCTGTCTTGAAAAACAAAAAAAACCATCACCACCATCACCAACAAAAAAAAAACCCAAAAAAGAAGAAGCTAAATATTCTCTGATGTTGTTCTGTTAATTTTTCAGTTAAAATCCTTTGAACTATAATTATTTGTTCTATTTTGTACAGTAAATGGAAAAAGAAAAAAATAAAATTTATCCAAAAAGTGAAACTACTCTAAATAATCAGAAAAAGCTTCATCAAAGGCAAAGCCAGAGGTAACCTGGTGTCGTATCTGGGAACATGGCCCAAATGGTCAAGGCTAGCTACTTAGAATACTCGGTAGGCATGGGGTTCCCAACAGAGACCTCTCCGCAAATCTCCTGTGGCTACTGGGGGAGATAGAGGAGAGAGAGAGAGCAAGATTCTATTTATAATGTTATCATCATAGTGAAAAATAAATACTGATCCTAAAGTTAACAAATGACTGCCTTACAAGGAACCTAATAGATGAAATAATAGCTCAGCCTCTAATTTCCAGTTAAAGCAAATGTTAGTTTATTAAATCATTGCAGAGCCAGCGCCAAGGCCCCAAACTTGTTAATCTTGAGCACACAAATCAATACAGACTTGATTCCTGGATCCAGGAGGCTCACGAGCTTTCCGAAATCAGGGCATATTGAATGGGGAAGCAACGGTGACCCCAGAGGCCTTCAGTTTCCACAGTTTAATATTCTTGGTAATAGGATGGAGAGGGAGTCCAGGTTGAGAACATCATGATCACAGCTCCAGTGGTCTTCCAAAGTCTCTATGGTCATGGATCAATACCCCGCCATCATGTTAGAAGTACAGTAGCCACCACTAAAACTCAGTTCCAGTTTCTACAAGCTATAGCATGGAAGATCTTTCTGAAGATTTGTTAGACATAACGGAACCACCAGAAATGGCTAAATCCTCTAGCCTGTGTTGATTGACCCTTAGTCTGGTGACTGTGATTGTTTTGATGTAAATAATGAATTAAACCAGGCTGTAGTCAGGATCTACAGCAATTTAAACCGATTCACGTGTTCAGCATAAGCTTCAAACTCCTGAGTGGGAATTGAAGCCGCATTCTCCCTTAGAGTCCTTCTGAACTCACATGGAATTAACAGCAAACGAGCGAGGCTACATTTGAACAACAAAGTTCGTCTCTATTTCCCTCACTAGGGTGAAGTAAGACGGGTGGAATGGCCACCAAAACTGTTTCCTCAGCTTCATGACAATTGTGTATGGGGGGAGGCACCCTCTTCACATAAGTTCACTGGAAAGAACCCACAGGGAGATGAGAGCTGACATCGCTCCGGCACACCTGTGCTCTCCACCACCCCACCTCTGCTCTTGACAGTGAGGGGCTCAGTTTAACTGGCAGTAGAGGCCTCTCTCTAGTCCTCACAGATGGACATATCCATCAGCATGCCATGTAGGCATCACTTAGAGATGACTTATGTTTTCCCAAGCATTGGCACAGTCTTAATGATTATGTAAATTTATACAAAAGCTGTTAACTTGTAAAGAAGAAAAAAAATGTGTCCTGTTCACTTATGCATGTGTGAGATGTATAATGACTCTCCCCTCCCTCAACAGCATGGGATGGGCATCCCCTCCATTTCTATCATGCTCCATGAACTCATCAAGTTGCTCCACCATGCACACTGCTGTGACGTTACCATCATCAGAATCGGAACGTCAGGGGGAATTGGTGAGATGGATTGTTTTCTACCATTAAAGCTGAGATTCTTCATGCATTCCTGTGTTAATGCAAAGCACACTGACATATTTAGAGCCCAACAGAAATCCAGATGGGCTGCAAAGTGCTGGGAGGCTGGACTTGAGGATTTAACTCCTCCTCCTCCTCCTCCTCCTCCTCCTCCTCCTCCTCCTCCTCCTCCTCCTCCTCTCTCTCTCTCTCTCTCTCTCTCTCTCTCTCTCTCTCTCTCTCTCTCTCTCATGTGTATGTATAATTCTACTTTTGTTCATATAAGCGAGAGTAGAATTATTAGAAAGTATGGTTTTATGGTATGTTCTAGAAGTTTGTTTCTTTGTTGCTGTGATAAAAGACTTTGACCACAATCAACATTCAGAGGACAGGGCTTATACGGCTTACAGCTCACAGTCCATCATTCAGGAAAGCCCAGACAAGAACTCCAGGCAGGAACCTGGAGACAGGACCTGAAGCAGAGGCCATGGTGGAATGCTGCTAGGCCATTCTTATGGAAGCCGTTCCTCGATTGAGGTTCCCTTTTCCCAGGTGACTTCAGTTTGAGTCAAGTTGACAAAAACTTGTTAGCACATGCTAAGAGCAGGTTTTGAGCCTGAGGAATTTATGTGACAGGAATAAGGGTGTTCAGGTAAAGAAAATGACAAGAATTCACCTGTTTCATCTACCAAGTGTCAGGCCTTATAGTAACTAGGAAAATGTCACTTTTGGCTCTTCTTAGTGGCTACTGCTCTTTTCTTGGTTGTGTCTTTTACTCAACTGCATAGCAAAAAGGACCATGTGGGCTTTTAGAGAAGGTCTGTGGCTACTTAAGTTCATCCAAGAGCCTCCCTGCCTCACTTCTGTCATTCCTTAAGAATCAGTTCTTGTCAGGATGTCATTTTACCATGTCAGGATATGCAGATGCAGACACACCATTCTAAGTAGAAAGGTTTGGTTGACAAAGTGGCAGGACTGCATGGTTACATAATAGGGAGGGAGCTTTTAAAAGACAAACCCCTTAGCATTACTCTAGTAAGCATTTTGGAACGAGAGGAGATCTCAAAAATCCTCAAAGGACTAGAGAAGTGGCATGCTTCACAGATGCCTCTCACTAAGATCAAGCAAGTTAAAAAGGACCACAGCCCTTCCAGAGCTATAATCTCAGAACAAAGTCAGCCAAGGCCCCTCATATGTGGACAAAAAAACCATTTATGGTGCTCTTGAGAATGGAAATGGAGAATGTAAGCAATCAGTGTTGATTAAACATCCTTCTAGACAGTGGTTTATCCAACAGCATCCCAAATAATCAGTTTTAGGGAACAGCATGCCTGGCAAAGACATAGATACCATTATTAAGGCTGCTTGTAATTCTTGGTTTGTGGGATACAGCGATTTGCCTTCTGAGCTCACAGCTACACATTCTGTCCTCCTAACTACTGCAGCTGTCACTTGACATGAATGAGTCTCCAGCAAGTCACTCCAGTGACCATCCAAATCATGATCATGGTCTCGTGTTTCATGATAACTTGGTACAGACTACAACAAGATGGTACCAACAGCGTGATAGAGGCCTGGAAACAGAGCCAAATTAAACCATTGTACAGATGCAATCAGCTTCATTTCAGAGTTCCATGTTCATTACTAATGCTCTAACTAAGGTTCATCTGCTTTATTTGAAGCAACACCTTATTTGAAGACGGAAAATGCAGTATTACTTATTCTTTTGCTGACACAATAATTCCTTAAGTGAGAAATACTTTGATAAGGGAAAGATACACCATTGAAAAGCATTTTGGGACAAAATTGCTATAAATGCTTCTTCAATACATCTATGTGTTAAGACAGTGTGAGGAAACTCATTTTCAACTTCCTTTTCAATGTCTCAGGGCATTCTAAACAATGTAAAGAGTCCCCTTGCTTGGCTTACTTAAAATGCATATGACCAATCAGAGCTGTATCTTCAAGGCTACTGTGATGTTCAGCTTCAACTGTCAACTTGACACAACCCAGCATCCCCTGGGAAGAGTCTCAGAGAGGGATTGTCCCCCTTGGCTTGGCCTGGGGGTGTATCTGTTTGGAGAATGTCTTGATCAACGTCATTGGTGGGTTGTGACCTTAGGTAGGGGTCCTGAATTGTGTAAGAGTAGGGGAATGGGATTGAGCACAGCAAGCAGGTCCATGTGCATTCAATTTTCCCCCTGCTTTGACTGGGGATGAGATTGGCTGCTGATTCTTCCTGCCTTAACTTCCTCACAATTGTGGATTCTAACCTGCAATTGTAAACCTTATAAACCCGGTCTCTCTGCTTTTGTCAGGGTATCTTTATTATTCTATAGATAGAAATTTAAAGTGTTCTGTAATTAACTCTAGTTTGGCATATTGGGATTTATACTGAACTAGTATGGGTCTGTACTCCATATCCAGAGTGGTTAAAACATTTCCTGTAAAGTGCCAGATAATAAAAGTACTGGGCTTTGCAAACTGTGCACTTCCTGTTGCTACTTCTTAATGCCCCGTCATAGCTCAGATACAGCAAGGACGGTATGTAAATGAATGTGGGATCACGGTGCAACAAAGCTTCCTTTACTAAGACAGGTGGCATGTGGCCTGTGGACCAGAGTTTGCAGGTCTGTGTTGTATGCCATCTTTACAGAAGCGTGTCCTCACTGACCACATTCCTACTGAATACTCACGCTGGGAAAGAGAGGAACAGCACCAGACCTGGGGAGAGAGCGATGAACCGACACTGTTCTTAACTAGATACAGCTGGTATTCCATTAGAGAACGAGACAAACAAATGACTGTAAAAAGTGTGATGAGTGTTCAGAGGCTGCCCAGGGTACGATCTAGAGACACCTTCTTCCTCAGGTTGTCAGGGCAAATCAAAAGCTGGCTCCTGGAAGGCCCCGGGAAAGTCACGTCGCCTGTGCTTGTTCCCTTTTACTTATTTATGCTTATTTCATTGATTCTCCCTCCGTGGCTCAGCCTTTCAGAAGGGAGTGACCCCAGAGGACAGCTGAGGAACACTGGCATCAGTGTAATGAAAGAGAGTTGGGAGAACAGGAATGTCCCCAGGCAGGGAGAGGAGAAGTGGATAGCAAATGGCATCTCAGCGGGCCCAGGCCCCTTGAGCAAGCCAGACTTGCAGGCAATGGAAGGTCAGCCAAGAGACCTAATTTGCATAGAGTCGGGGAGAAAAAGGAGGGTCTGTGATGAGAATCTGAAGGGAAAGAGGAGAGAGCTGCCAAGAGATGATAGTAATCGAGGAGTCTGCAGGAAGATTAAATATCAAGAAGTCACGTCACTTTAGGAAAGCTACTTGCTGGCAGGCTCATTGACTTTATTCCTGGCCTGATTTATTCAAATTTGAGCCCGAAGCCTGGCACTAATTTGCATGTCCAAGAGTCATGTTTGTCTTGAAATCTAAACCCCACCACACTGTAAATGCGAATCTGGACAGAGAGCCAATGAAAATGCCTGTCCTAATGGTTATTTGATTGCACTCAGAAAAAAAAATGTTTTGAAAGATGAAAGCAGGGGAGCCATTAACAAGCAGCATTAATTACTGTTGACAGAACAGGTTACATTCTACATGTCACAGAAGTCAACTCTGAGCAATCTTCTGGGGTCCCTTTATTCTGTGTTGCAGGGATTGCCCCAGGGTCTGTCGTAATAACAGATACGGCTGTAGACTCTTTCTTCAAGCCTCGGTTTGAGCAGATCATCTTGGACAACGTGGTGACCCGAAGCACTGAACTTGACAAGGAACTGGCTGCTGATTTGCTCAACTGTAGCAAAGAGATCCCCAACTTCCCAACCCTCATCGGACACACGATGTGTACCTACGATTTCTATGAAGGTGAGAATCCTTTCCACACCACGAAGGCAGTAGAAAAACACCAGCAGCTTGTTACACAAACCCACAATTTATATTAAAACTGCAGACTAGGAAATTAATAGTGTGGATTTTCAAGGGGGAAGCAAAAAGGCTTTTTGCTTCCTAAAGCGTAGCAACATGAGGGCTTAATAAGCAGCTGAGAAACATGCAGATGAGTTTATATCGAGAATGGGTTTAATCCTCTATCAGTTTGAATTCTAAAAGGCAACTAGTGATATCGACAGCATCTTCTCTCCGCTTGTGACTTTTACTTAAATTGCTGAATCTAAGACAGAAGAATATGCTAGTTCTATGCTTCTATCCTTCACCTGAACCTCAGGCAAGAAGTAAGACCAGGAAATGAGGAGAAAGGTTCAATTAAACAGATCCTACAAGGAGGTTGTTCTCTCCGAGTGGAACCTTTATCCCACAGCCAAGAGTAAAGGGTCTCCACACCTAGTTTAGAGTTCAGCTAAAGGTCATTGCCAAATAGCAGCTCTTGTTCCAAGGGATGAGGGGCAAGGCAAAAGAGAAGCAAGACACCACAACCTCCAAGGACAGACTGTTCATTGCAGAAGAATCTACATTGCCCTGATTATCATAGCACACTGGGCTTTCAGCAAATCTTGCGCTATAGTTTCATTCATAGAATAATCAAAGTTAATCTCAAGATTACACTAGCAATTTCTTTTACTTTTCTCTAGATCACAGTTTATATATTTAAGAATCTAAAAGCCATGCATGGGGATAGGTTGTATTCTGTCTGCATTTACTCAGGTTAGTAAAGGTATTTGAGGTGTTTATACACTAGACAGGGTGGTAGATGGATAGCTCGAGACTGTTCTAGGACATTGATTCTCAGACCCTTCATTTAGAGGGTCACTCACCCATGTGTTCGAGTCACAGATCATAAGCAGAAGCCAGGCAGGGTTGGTGTTTCCATTGGCCCATGAGGTACTGTTTCAAATGTGAATTATTTTGCCAACGTTTGTAATTTCTAGAGCTTCTCATATGAAAATTCGATGTTTTGCTTCTTGACATGACATAAAGTAGCATTAAGAAGTACAAAATGCTATGTGTGTGACAGCCCTGGACAACCTTGGCCCTCATCTGGGGTTACTTATGGTAGGTGAAGTGAGGCAACTCCGATTTGCCTAGGCAGACCCTCGCATTGGCATTACCCATGGCTTCTGGGCCATGTGGGTTTGGCTCAGCCTAAACAACACAGTTAGAAGTGTTGACAGGCAGCACCAACGAGAAGAGAAGGGACAGGGAAGAGCTGCCTGCCGGGAGAGAAGCCACAGAGAACAGGAGCAAAGGAGAGAAAAGGCTTCAGGCAGGACAGTCAAGTGATGGATGGCAGCTGGCTTCCATCCGGGTACTGCTGGGTGGGAACAGTTGGGATGCACACACAGTGGCAGGGGTAGGCGGTAGGTAACATCAGACTGAGAGGTGTGTCAGGGACAAAGACAAACCATTTGGCTGTGACTGGCCATGGTGGTCCTATGGAGAGTGGCAGGGTCCAAATCATTTGCCTGAGGAGTGTCACTGAGGTATGAAGGCCCCACCATCACCACCCCATGTCTCCACTTGGCCTGTTTCCCCTATTACTGGGGAAACATGAGTTTCTCCTCAGAGGACAACTTCCTCTGTGACCCCCTCACCCCATTCCTGATGTCCCCACTGTCCTTCAGAACTAGGGCACTCCTTCCTGTACAGACATTCCACCCTTTCTGTGAGATTTGAGCCAGGTACAGCCATGCTCTACAGTCCTTTGGAAGAAAGATTCAGCAGCCAGGTTAATTCCCCAGAGGACCACCACTCAAGAGGTGGGGACAGATGCAGAGCACTGCACCCTTGGACAGTCTCCTGTTGATGCCACTGCTGCTGAGGTGAGACATCAGCCACTAAGTCACTCCATCCTTTTTCAGGCCAGGGCCGCCTAGATGGAGCATTATGTTCCTTTTCGCGAGAAAAAAAGCTAGACTACTTGAGAAGAGCGTGCAAAGCTGGCGTCAGGAACATCGAAATGGAGTCGACGGTGTTCGCAGCCATGTGTGGACTGTGTGGTCTGAGAGGTAAGCTTCTTGTGAATGCCAAGGACCCCTCTCCTCTTTCACAAAGGCATCTTATGTTCATTCTTCAGAAGGAAAGGGGGCCCAGAGATATTTTATTTTGTGTTGAATGCATGCCTTAAAATTATTCATGCTATACATTATCTCATAGTGCATTGTGAGCAGGTAGGACGTTGCTCCCATCATGAGGAAACAAAGCTCAAGAATCAGAAATCTGAGGGCACGCGCTGGGTGATGATGTAGCTAAGGACTCAACTGCAAGTTCATTGTTCTCTATCTTGGTAGTGGCTGCTATTTTCTATCATAACTGAATTTGTTAGGACAGGATGCAAATGAGAGGTGCCTAAAATAGTCAATCAGTCATAATTTTAATTAGCATGGTCAGGAAAAGGTAGGAGGAGAAGGTACCGTTTGGGAAAGGCCACACGGGAACCTGGGAAGCTCACTCGGAAAGTGTAAATGGAAAGCTAAATATAGCAGGAGCACGCAGGTGTGCTGCAGAACAGGTGGAGGCAAGTGCCGGGAGGGATGATGGGAGGTGGGAGATGTGGGGGGGATTGGCCAGGTTGTATGGATCACTGCTGAAACTTTGACTTTCTGTCTGGAAGCGGGGAGGTGCCGGGGAACTCTGAACAGAGAAGTTTCGATAGACTTTCTCTGGATTCTGAGTTGGGAAGAAGCTAGTGAGGCCAGAGCAGAAGCAAGGTGAGGAGTAAAAAGGCCAGAGCAGCTTCCTGCAAAGCTTCAGGGCCAAGGTGACAGCGCAGGGCAGTGAGATGCAGTCAGGCTCTGCCCGGGTTCAAAAGAGAAACCCAGCAAGAGCGGCTGACAGTTCAGTGTGGGTTTCAGGAGAGAGGCCAACCCTAGGGATAATCAGAAGAGTGAGCTTGTCTCAATGGGGACAGAACATGGAGTGAACGTCTATGTTGATGGTATAAAGATGGCATTTGAAGCGAATACAGTTGATGAGATGCAAGAAGCATAGACACAGCCAGGATGAGACCTAAGTTAACAGTTCGGGACATGAGGAAGACTCCGAAGAGGATCAGTAATGTCACAGATCACCGGAGAATAGTCTCTGCTGTCCAGATGTTAAGAACTTCACAAAAAAAACCCTGAATTCAAACATTTGTTCTTATAGCCAATACATTTTCATATTCATGTTATAAACACTGTACATGTGGTAACATTTCTGACAATGGACTTTGGGAGAAGAGAGATTCTATAAGGAGATTAAGAGAGTCTCTCCCTAACTACTCTTACCTCAGATACATGTACATGACAATCCCTGTACTACATGGGTAAAGAACCACAGTTCTTCCTTGTGCTGTTCATTGTTCCACTTTCATGTGAATGTGTGTAATGTGCATGTATGTATGCATGGTAGCATGTGTGTGTGCACATGTGTGAGAGTGTGCAGGCCACATGGAAGCTGGAGATCAGGAACCATCCTCAGTTGCCTCTCTACCTCAATCAAACCTTGAGCTCAGTGACATGGCTAGTTCTGTTGACCCATTGCTCTGGGGAAAACCCTTTCTCTGCTTTCTGAGGCTAGAATTACAGGCAGATCTACACACTTACCAGGCATTAGTCGGGTTCGCACAGCAAGGGCTTTAACCACTGAGCCATCTTCCCAGATGCCAGCCCACCCGATTTACGCTCATCAAGAAAGCTCATTTTCAGAGAAACCATTGCCTCTGCTTTCCCCTAAACAAATTAGCAAGAGCAGGGCAGTTTGACCTCACTTGAGAAGCAATGCAGAAGATTTCTACCTCCGGAGAGGCCTTCTGGGGTTTCTTTATTATGGAAACAAGTGACCACTTAACTCATATCTCTGCAAATATGTAAATGAGCAGATTTTGGTAACCAATATAGTAAAACATAAAATGCTAAGCCAACAAGCTGCCAGTGTGGTGAAGACCCTGAATTCTTTTTGCAAAAGCTGTCTACTGGTCCCCAGGGAACACTGTCGTGTTGTGAATCCCAGGCATCTGTCTTTGTCTTTTGAGAATCCTGCAGAGACCTGAGGGAAGCTCTTCTCTCAAGAGCCTTTTTGTCCTCGCTGCCGATCTCATGAGCTTGCTCTCCCTCCACCCGCAGGTAACCCTCCTTCATAACCTGCCTCCCTCTCTCTTTCTGCATCGTTCTGTTATCTCTGCTGCTGCTGAAGTTTCTGGCTTCTGGTGTCAGTGTCCCTGCAGGTCTCCCTCTTCCTAGACCCTGCTGCAGCCTCCTTTTCATCATGCAGACCTCTTCTGGCTGTCAACATGCTCCATCCGCAGCTCTGCAGCTCTTCAATTCTGTAGTTCATCCAGGGATTACTGTCCAAATTTCTTCACGGTCGTGGGGGCTGCTCATCTCCCCAAGACATCACTGTTTGAAAAAGTGGATTTCTGGTATGTTGGTTGTGGAAGATCAACTATCAAGGGCCGGATGAAAGGCCCATGCACAGGTTGCTACCATGTCCCCACATTTCATGGCCACTTCATAACGTTTCCTCCCTCACCCCTTCCCAGGGATGAAGCTTCGATACTGTCATGCAGCGCTTTTTTACTTTGGCGCGTTTACCAACCCACTCTGTGAGCCAGGAAAGCTTTGGGGGAAGGGCTGCGGGTGCATTCACAGGCTGCTGCTCTAGCAGAAAATCAGGAAGAACATGAATGGCAAGCAGCATGGAGAAGTCTCACCTGACCCCAGAGCCCAGAACCCATGGGCTTCTGGCTCTCAAGACATTGACTCTGCTCCACAGTTACTACCAGCCCATCCCACTCTAGTCTCCTGGTTGCCTTCTCTGTCTTTTTACATGGCCCTTTCTGTCTTTGTATTCACAAGCCAACTGAACAACCAACGAGAATTCACAACCATGTGAGAACTGATACAGAGTTTCTTCCTTGGGGTAACACGATGCATTAACACGGCTCTTAATTTAGGAGCCACAGTTCTAACTCAGAGGATTCAGTGGCAGAGTTGGAACCCCAGCAGAAACAGATCATTTCTGCATCTGCCTGGCCCAGGGAGGGCTTGTGTCCCTGTAACTCACCACTTATCTTCACAGTGAATGTGAGACTTGGCCTCTCAGGGGACCATTGTATGAATACCCAAGCCCAATGAATCACATTTATATCATTTCTTTCACTTCTCTGTTGCATATTCAACACTATTAGCTATATTTCTGGCTTGCTTATATACTAACTTATGCATTGCTTTAGATTAATGCATGCTCTAATTTGCTTTCTGTTGCTGTGATACACATTCTAATGAAAAGCAACTTGGGGAGGAAAAGGTTTATTTGGTTTATACTTCCACATCACAGTCCATCACGGAGGCAAGTCAAAGCCCTATGATGCTTACTGGCTGGCTCGCCATGGCTTGCTCAGCCTGCTTTCTTATACAACCCAGGACCACCTGCTTATGGATGGTACTGCCCGCAGTGAGCTGGATCCTCCCACATCAATAGTTAATCAAGAAAATGCCACACAGGCCTACCATAGGCCAATGGGATGGAGACGATTCCTCGACAGAGTGTCCCTCTTCCCAGTTGACTTTAGTTTGTTTCAAGTGACAAAAACAAATCCGTACCGTGCATAAAGGTGACATTCATTCTCTCGCCGCTGTGACGCAGCACCAGAAGAACAAGGACTTTGTCATTGCTCTGTTGCCCCACACCTAGAATAATGTCTGCCACCTGGGAACTGGATAAATATCTGCTGAGTGAGTGAATATAAAGAATGACAATGAGACTCTACTTGACCTTGGAGAACGGCCATGGGAAGCCAGACCCTCCGTTCATGAGTCACATCAGCAGTGCAGAACTGTTTGAAGGACGGGTGCCGAGAGTTCCCTTTGCTGTTAGATTTATGTAAACCTGCAGTCCCGGAATCCGCTGTCATTTGTAGGTGGCCTGGAACAGGGCCACCAAAACCCATCTGTCACTGCTGCTCTTTTGTTCATTGTCCCAGACAAGTGGAATAGGGATCCAGGGCCACCTTAACAAAGATCCAGGTAAGGAGACAGTGGACTTCAAATCACCCAGTATCAGAAAGCTGTACCTTCAGAATAATGCAAAAGCGGGCAACAGAAAATCAACAGGATGCTGAGTCGATGCATCCGTGGCATATCTGTCCCTCTCTTAAAGGGAAATTTACGTCACCCTCTTAGGCTGTGAACTTGTGATAAATATATTCAGCCTGCCTCCAGTTTTTTAAAGACAGAACTGCCTTTTGACACAAGCTTGCACAGCAATATATAAAACCTAATATTTGTCTAAGATTAGGCTCTGCTCAAGTTCTTCTCAATGCCTTTAGTTGTCTGCAATTCACAGTGGCTTTTCTTTAGAGTAAAGGAATAATTCCATGTTATTTCTTTTGACAGCTGCTTGTAACTTAGGGAGGTCTTCATTCTTTAGAGAATTGCTTTGAAACTGTTCAATAAAAGGAAACAGAAACTATACTTCAGTTTTTAAATTCTTCGGTGGGTGTTCCCAGCAATGAAGAATCTTGGTGTCTGGGACCTGCACGGTGACCATGGATAAAGCCCAAAAGATGTTACCACAAAATTAATGGTTATTTTAGATTTGCAGCTGTAGTATTTCTTAATCCCCAAATAGAAGTGTTGTTAGAGTTTTCCTGCCTGGCCCATAGTCAGGACAAATCTCTCTTACCCGTCAGTCCCAAGCCGCTCAAACCCGATCAAGTAAACAGAGACATTTATATTGGTTTTAAACTGTATGGCCGTGGCAGGCTTTTTGTTAACTGTTTTTATAGCTTAAATTAATCTATTTTTATTAATCTATACCTTGTCATGTGGCTTGTGGCTTATCGGTACTTTATATCTTTTTTTTTTTTAAGGCGGCTGGCAGTGTCTCCCATTTCAGCTTTTTGTTTTTTCAGTTTTTTTTTTTTGTTAGTTTTGCCTATACTTCCTGCCTGGCCACGGACCAATCAGTGATTTATTTACTGACCAATCAGCAACACATTTGACATACAGACCATCCCACAGCACCT